CTACAGCTAGCTATGTGCTTCCGTGCATGGGTGCCTGTCAAAAGTTAAAAGTTACGGAAAACACTACTTCGTTGGGTCATGTTTGTAATTCTGCTGTCCTTTGTTGTGTGAAGAAGACCCGTTGAAACGATATGGATCTTTTAAATAATACAGAACATGACATCACACATGTAGATGATCATGTAGAGAGATGGACTTCGGAAGTACATCTACAACACAACAAGAGCCAACATTGACGGGTTAAAAAACAGCCAATGCAAATATCTGCGAATTTGCGAGAATCATTTGCTGCAAAGTCAAAAGCACTCACACTACCACTACCACACACTATCACTAGTACTACCACTGACGTTGCCACTACACCTACTGCTGTAGCTGTGTGCTTCTCTCCCGTGCGCGCGGTGTCTGTCAATTTCTGTCCCTCCCTCTCTCTCTCTTGCTGGCTCTGTCTCTCTCTCTTTGTATCTCTTGTAGGGTAGGCATTATAATATCATAACTGGCAGTTAGAATAGTATAATAGACTATTATAATAATTTATTGTAACGATGTACCATGATTAATTCAGAGCTTGGAAACATATAGTGATGCATGGATTATGGTAACAATTTCAAGTAACTGTGAAAAATAGAAGAGACGATTTAGAATGGTCGAGTGGCATCGAATGCAGGGCACGTAATAAAATTGCAAAACCTAAACTTAACAGTCACGATACCTCACACAATAAAATCGGTTCCAACCACCATGCTGCTCTATTAACAAGCTCATGCCAATCCCCTCACAGTGTATACGCAATACGTTTCTGTTTTACTTTCTGTTTACGTTCGTGGAACGGTTAGTTTACGTTTTAGCTAACCTCAGGGTTAAACACTACAATCCCTCCCCTTTTCAAACGAAGAGGATTTCAATTTGACATTTGCTAAATATCAAATTAGAAACTCAACTTTACTTATACGGAGTTCGAATCACCCTGGTTAATATAGAATCCAGTGTCTGTGTGTATAA